ATCCCGACGAGACCCAAAGTCAGGATGGTCGTGCCCAGTTCGTTGCCGATGAAGAGGCCGACGACCGTGCTGACTACGACCATGGTGACTCGTGGCATGAAGACAATGACATCTATGTCGAAGGTGATGGTGATGAAGAAGGCAATGACATTGATATTAGTGGCAAGGCATTGTTCATCGACAAGCTCACCCAAAGAGCGGAAGCACAAAAGAGGAGGAAGAGCATTCGCACGGGTTCATATACACAAGATGAGGACAAGTTGATTTGCCAATGTTGGATGGAGATTAGCCAAGATCCAAGGACGGGCGCGCAACAAAAGGGCCTAGTTTTTTGGACGAGAGTCCACAAAACTTTCCATGAAAGGAAGATGTTTGAGCCCTACCAAATCACAAGCAACCATGGCATCACCTCGATTCAAAAGAGGTGGTTGTTCATTCAACAAGAGTGCAACAAGTATTACACCGCATTTGAGAGCGTTGAAGCACGACCCGTGAGTGGTCTCGGCGTTGGGGACATGGTATGCTCTCCTCATCCTAGTCCTTTCCTTGCTACGGCCATGAGACTTCGGCCTTGTATATGTTTGCATGTCCAATTTCTTGTTGATCTTGTGGTGTAGGCATTTCAATTTTTGGAAGCATTCAAGGCCCGGCACAATGACAAGCCATTCATTCTTACGCATTGTTGGACGATCATCAACATTTTCCCTAAGTTCAAGGATCAATATCGTGAGCTTCAAAGGAAGAGAGGCAAGAAGATGGCCAAGTTTTCGCCGGAGGTGGAGATGGCGAGGCGTTGAAGAGGCCGAGGGGCAAGACCAACTCCAAGGTGGACGACATACGTGATGCTTCAATCATGGCCTTGCATGAGACGTTGCATGGCATGATGTCTCAAAAGGATGTAAGAGACGAGAAGAAGCGGCAAAGCAAGGACGAGCAAATGAAGCAATACCTAGAGCTTCAAAGAAAGAAGCTTGAGATGGAGGAGGCGGCCAAGAGACGAAAGATCGACATGGAGGAGGCGGCCCGGCAAAGGCAACTCGACATCGAGGCCAACAACATCAAGGCCAGGCAGAGGCAGCTCGACATCGAGGCCACCAATGCTGCAACCAAAGCGAAGGAGGTGGCCCTTGCAATCATGAGTGTGGACTTAACCAAGATGAGCGACAAAGACGAGGAGCTGGTTCGAGGCCAGGCACAAGGAGATGTTCGACGCCGACGGTCTGAACTAGGTCGTCTGATCGGCCGTGGCCGTTCTTTTTTGGAGGCTGGCATGGGTGCCGTCCGCTGGGCCGCTGGCTGTGTGCCGGCGAGAAACCGATTCATTTTGAAGGCTGGCTGCGTTGCCGGCCGCTGGCTGTGTTGCCGGCGAAGAAAACTATTCATTTTGGAGGCCGACTGTGTTGCCGGCGAGGACGTGTAGGCCGCTGGCTTTGTTGTCGGGCGTGAACTAGGGCCGCTGGCGTGAACTAGGCCGCTGGTATTTGAAACGTTGTTGTTTGAAAATGGAGGCGGACAGAATGGGGCTAAAGGATGCAGCCGCGCGCTGGGCGCACGGCCACCGTATCTCAGGACAGGCCCGGACATGACCCCATCATTCTACCCAAACGGACAGAATCCGGGCAAACGGACGTCCGTTTGGAGTCGGGCGGTGGAGTTGGCCTAATCTCCTAGTGATGGCACTGAAACGACCATGCGAACCTTCTGAAAGTTCTTGCATCACCTGCTTATTGTCGCGTGAAATAACAGTCTTTCTAACGAGAGATGTTGCGCCAGAGCCAAAGCTTCCTGCAAGCTAGCGCCTCGACGCATGCCGGGTCAACATTATCCGAAACAACTAGCGCCGAGGAGCCCAAGAACGCCCCGCTGTGATCACGACAAACAGCAGCTGCCGCGGCCCTGTGTCCCATTCCTTGCAAAGCCTCCATCAACACTTATTTTAGCGTCTCCCAAACAAGGGGGGTGCCAAGTTCTGGGACGAACCACACATGAACGAACTGCCTGCGCAGCCACACTGGGTTGTTTAATCATTTCCAGCTCGCATATGAGCCTTTCAACAAATAAATGTGTAGACAGGGGACTTTGGAAAACACCATCATGGATAGCCTTTCTTCTCGCAGACCAAATGGGCTAAGAGCATGTCTAGTAGTACCCCTAAACCCTCAAACCCTCAGAAATAACCGCTTTTTTCCTGGTTGGAACAAAAAAAACGCAAAGACTAACCTAAACCCTCAAACCCTCAAAAAAAAGTAAGGGTCCAACCCTCAAACCCAATTCCAACCTGTAGAAGTGAGGGTTGGAGAGGTGCACTCGACCCCAACCCGCACTCCTCTTCCCACGTCGCGCGGGAGGCAAAAATCCCGTCCCCAACCTCCCGCCTCCTCCCTCCCAAGCCACCGGCCGCCGCCCGCCTCCGTCCTCACACCCGCCCCCTCCCTTGCCCCGCCCGTCGCCCCGCCCCCAATCGCCGCCTTCGCGACGCCCGCTTCGGCCCAGCAGTCGCCCGTCCCGAGCCAGGCGCAGGTCGCGTCGGTGGTCGCCGCCACCCACGTCGTAGGCGCCACCCACGTCGTCGGCGCCAAGCGGCGGCGCGCTGGCCAGCACATCGTCCCTCCGTAGCCCGCAGTCGCCCCGACCCCCGCCTCCTCCTCGCCCCGCCCGAACTCACCCCGCTGCAGCCGCCCACCACCAAGCGCGGTCGAAAGAAGTTGTCGGTTGGGCCGAAGGGTGTTGCGGTCGCCAAGCTCGCCGCGGGAGGGACCCCGGTCATGAAGAGGACCACCTCCCGGACGAAGACCGCGCCCGTGCCCCCAATCGCCGACCCTTCGCCCGTCGTGCACAAGGTGCTCGACGGTATGCCCGCAACGACGACGTTGTTCATGGGACTTCTCCAAGGCGCGGAGGTGGACCTCGGGGTTCCTCCTCTCGAACCCTTTGGGTTTGGTGATGACTTGGAGGAAGAGGGTGATGAGGAGGAGGAATGTGAAGATGAGGAGGAGGTGACCGAGATAGAGGAGGAGGCGTTCACCGCCGTTGCCCGACCCGCCGTGCGCTTGACAAACTATACCGAGGCCGAAGATATTCTCTTGGTTCGTGCTTGGGCACATGTGGGGATGGATGCAAGCACAGGTACCAATCAAACCGGTAAACGCTATTGGCAACGCATAGAGGACACCTATTGCAAGATCAAGCCAAAGACCGGTGGGTACATCTCTCGTACGTACCGGTCGCTTCAAGGCCAATGGGAGTTGATGAAGCCCCAATGTGCTCGTTGGAGTGCGGCAATGGACCAAGTGAAGGATGCACCGCCTAGTGGAACCGTGGAGAGTGACTATGTGAGTACATGTGTGTATTTTCACATCTATTTTGATGCTCTTACAACTATTGTTAGGTTCTTATGTGTGTTTACTATGCTATTGGTGGGTTTGTAGGAGGCAATTGCCGGCTTGAGGTACAAGGAGATGGCCGCTTCCAAGGGCAAAGCATTCTCATTTAAGCATGTTTGGGCAATTCTTCAAACTTTTGACAAGTGAAAGTTGAGGGATCAAGAGACTACACCCAAGAAGGCGGCAATGCTTAGGATGGATGATAGTGATGAGGAGGAAAGGAACCTGTGCAAGCCCGAGGGAACCAAGAAGGATAAGCTAAGGAAGAAGATGGAAGTAGAAGCGTCAAACGTAAGGGAGAAGATGGAGCATATGATGAAGTCAAGGGAGACATTGACAATGAAGACATTGGAGACAAAGCTTCTTATCACCGAGAAGAAGAAAGAGGTGAAGCTTGCACAAGTTGAAGCAAGGCGTGAAGAAGCCAAGCGCAAGGTCGACTTGGAGGAGAGGATGATCAAGGTTAAAGAAGCAAAGGCATGAAAAGAACTCATGGTGGAAGAGAAGGAGCACATGATGATGTCCAAGAAGGACATGGATGAAGATCAATTGATGTGGTGGAGGGACTACAAGGAGGACGTCGCAGAGAGAAAGAGGATATTTCATGGTGCGTTCTCTACTCTTCAAGATGACACTCCGATGAGTGGTGGTGGCGATGGCGGTGTGGAGGACTCCACCACCAGCGCCTGGAGGTGCTTGATGGACGTGGAAGTGGTCTAGGAGATGGCGCCGAGGTGCAACTTTTTGGTGATGGTGCCGATGAGAGGGGGAAGATGATGATGTTGTGATGTAAACTTTTAAACCATGCATCAATGATTTTCATTTCCTAGTTTGTTTCAAGGTTGATTGTGTTTTTCTAGTGATAATTGTGATATGTCAAATGACAGTTTTAAGGGTTGGAGTTGCAGCAATATTCATTATAAGGGTTGAGTTTGAGGGTTCTAGTCTTTGTCCCTGTTTTTCAACCATTAAAAATACCAAAAAATGCCAGTTCTCAATCCTTAAACTGGTTTGAGGGTACTACTAGTGATGCTCTAAAGTGGCATTAGAGTCTGGCACGCCATCAGCGACCCGACGAAATGCCCACAGCCAACTCTTTTTTTTTCGAAACGGACCCACAGCCAACTCTGGAGCGCGAATAAAGTAGAGAGACTGGAAGGCTGTCTACCCGCTGTGCCGTGCCAAAGTCCGCTGGTTCCCAGCGACAACGCTGGACCTTGGCCACGCCAGCCGCCGCACGGTTTTCCCTTGCAGAGCTTACACGCCGGTACCATAGCGGCAGCGGCGGGCTGCGCGCCTGCGCCTAAGCAGCCCGTCCACTTGAGTTGAGCCGCCCGGAAAAGATGCTGATTACAGCCAGTCAGCCCGACAACCTCCACTCCCAAACCAGCTGAAGCCTGAAACAGCATCAACAGAACAGCAGTATGTCACAAGTCACATGACATGGTCCGCCCTGAAACTCAGTCACCCTGTTATTTCTCCGGCTCCAAACAAAAACTCAAGTAGGTTTCCGGACTGCCCACCACAGCCATCAAAATATCTATCTACACGAACAATCAAGCTGCATGTTTATACTGGTTATCCTTTTGGCGATATAGATGTCTATCTACTGTCTATCTAGCTATCTGCTTCTACGCTCTCCAGTGATATGTTAATGTCAGGTATAACGGTTGCTTCTGCTTCGCACGAGTCTATGTCCATGCGTCCCAGCTCAGGCACAGGCGGTTGGAGGGTAGCGGCTTCCTCTGACTGACAATGCGGTTCATCTAAACTCTCTGGGCTTGCTTCTGTGTTGTCCTGCCGGGATGAAACCGGCAATTCTGCTTCACACTCATCTTGTTTCATCTCAGGCTGATCAGGAGCAGGCAGTTCAAGTGGTATGTTAATGTCAGGTATAATGGTTGCTTCTGCTTCGCATGAGTCTATATCCATGCGTCCCAGCTCAGGAACAGGCAGTTGGGGGCTAGCGGCTCCAGAACAGGTGTCCTCTGACTGACAGTGCGGTTCATCTAAACTTTCGGGGCTTGCTTCTGTGTTGTCCTGGCGGGATGAAACTGGCGGTTCTGCTTCACACTCCTCTCGTTTCATCTCAGGCTGATCAGGAGCAGGCAATTCATAGGGAGCGGCTCCGGCACTGGTATCCTGCAGTTTACCATGCGGTTGATCTGAACTTTCGGGCCTCACTAGTGTGTTGTCCTGCCGGGGTGAATATGATGATTCTGGTTTACATCCCTCTCGTTCAGGCTGCTCAGGAACTGCAAGTCTGTGGGATGCAGCTCCAGAGCTGCCATCCTGCGCTTCACAGTGAGGTTCATCTGCACTCTCGACAGCAAGTCTTATTTTTAAGTTGTCTTGGTGAGGTGAATCTGACGCTTCTGCCTTGCGCCAGTCTCTTTTCACCCCTCGTTGCTCAGCAACTGGCAAATCATGGGACACAGCTTCAGAACTGCTATTCTGCCCCCAACAATGAGGTTCTTTCATCCGATTGTTATTGGCATGCTCATGCCGGACACCCCTAGTTGCTCTCTCATGAAATGAAGGCACGTCTCTACCTCGGCCACCAACTCCCTGGTGGGGTGCTTGCCCCCTGTATGTGTATGGTGCTCTTCGTGGATGATTACCTAGCCGCTTCTCTTTGTTCATACTCCAAAGGTGAGGATCAGCATTTCCATATGAACTGAACCTTCTTTGCGAAGAAGCTGGCCATAACGGATAACCAGTCCTGTTCTGAAAGTCCCTGTTGCAGTGATCTCCTGAATGTTGCTGCCATGCACCAAGAATACTAGTTTGGTTGTGTGATTCTGTCCTCCGAACTGATCCAGGAGTAAACCTGCCATTGGCTGTTCGAGAAGTACTGCACAAGGGTTCTTGATCAGTTCTGCTATGATAGTGCTGCTCGGGATGCCGCTCAACATGTCCTCTAAACCCTTCAGGAGCACCATGTTTGTCACAGGAAGGTCTGTACCTGTTGGGCCAGTATTGATCAACAGGGATACCTCGTGATTGATTATTGTAGTCACCACCATAAAAGGTTCTTCTGTGCTGCTGAAAGTGTGTTCTGTGAATGTCCTCTCTAGAAGGTACAAAAATAGGTCTGTTTGGGTGACAAGAATTTGGTCGCAAATCATGGCCGTTTGGTTGCCAATTATTTATGCTCCGTGCACCACCAGAACCTGGAAGCTGACTCTGTCTTATCCTTGCCCTTAATAACCATGATGACACTCCAGCTGCATCAATTGTGCGGCCATTTCTCTGATGAACAAAAAAAAAGAACTACTGTAAGTATATTTGGAAGAATAGAGGTTTGAAAGACAAGTTTTCTCATCCTCAAAATCTTTTTACGGTCTAGAATACAGGAGATTATGAAGGATACTTCTGCTGAATAACACAATGTGACTGAACACTGGATCAGAGACAATAAATTAGTTAGCACTTAGCATATCCATCCTAGTTCAAGCTTTCATACATGCTAAATTACATTTCTTTTTCCTAATTTGGGTTATTTTAGGAAATTGGGTTCCCCCGAACCGTGGCAGAGCAGTGTTGTAACAAGATTAGCGGTAGGCGCCATTGGCACCACTCTGTAGGGCCCACATGGCGCCAGTGCTCCGCCAAGAGCATCAAGTCACTGACGCTCATTATGCCTTTACATTTGCATAGCAATTGCCTGTCTGTCCTCAAATGAGTAGCCATAAGGAGTAATGGACAAAGAATGCGGCTTAAAGGATGTAGTAAGAAGCTGTAGATTTAACTCCATGTGATTTGCGTTGGAGGGAAACCATCACACACTGTTAGGCAAGATAAACATGTATATATCACAAGGGCATTACCTTGATTGCAAGCCTCATTGTTTCTGCTAAATGCTTGTCCTTGAGAGCATCAAAGAAACATCCACGTTTTTTCGAATCATTGACTAATTCTGCCCATACTGAATTGCTTGCAAGCAAAGTGGCTCCATTTCCAAGGATCCAAAGGCAGTGCCTGTGGCAAAAATACAGAGATATGTAAATGAAAATGCAGTGTAAACTAATTCTTGAATATCACCAAATTAAGAAATCTTACTTTGCTCTTGTCAAAGCCACATTAATTCTTCCAGCATCAGAGAGAAAACCTACTTTCCCATCTTTGTTGGACCTAACTGTTGAAATTAATATTATGTCTTCCTCACCACCTTGAAATCCATCGATAGATTTTACTGTAACAGACAGAAACTCATGTTTCTCAAACTTTCTTCCAATTATTTCTTGCATTGCCATCACTTGGGCAGTATACGGAGATATTACACCAACACTGGTTCTCTGCCTCTTCTCCCAGCATTCTACAGTAGTTTTATAGAGACAGTAATTAGCTTTATTCAAATCATGAAGCTTAGCAGTAACTTATTTTCATCCAACATGACATGTGATAGGTGAAGATTTGGGTATACCTTTCGCAAGTCTTTCAATGATATTGGCTGCTACAGCAACCTCAATCATATTTTTTGAACTCTGGCCAAGGTCATCAAGCATTTCCATATCATTTTCAATGTGAATGAATGAATAAGCACCATAAATACTTCCAGAGAGATAATTCTTGGTATAATCTTTCTGTTTGACACTGGGACCATCCAAAATTCGGTTACCATAAAAGTTGGCATTCGGAAATTTATTAATGCAAGGGTGCATTCTATATTGTACTTCCAGCAAGTGCTTGGTGTAACCCATTGTACACAATCTCTCGTAGAGGCTTCGTCCAAAGTCGGCATCTTTAGCAATCTAGCAAGTAGCAGTAAGTAGAAAGTGTCAGCAACTAAGGAAGTCTGGAAATAATCATCAGTAACATATGCGATGATAACAGAATATGACACACATTCTTATAAACAAAAGCATACCTTGCTCTTTACCAATGATGATAGCTGGTTTTCATCCCCAATTAGTAAAACATGTTCTATTCCTGGAAGCAAGAGAGGAACCAGCGATTCAGATTCTTTTAGCTGTGCTGCCTCGTCAATAACCAAGATGCTTATAGGCATCACACCTTGCAGCCTGAACAACTCAAACGAACCAGAAGCAGTGCAAAATATGAGTTTTGCTTGCTTCAAACACAAGTCCCTGATCGAAGATTCATTCTCTTCACAAGGAAACCGCATTTTTGAAAGATCCATCAGGGTTTTAATACATATAGAGTTTATCTCCGAAGGGTTATCTAGAGAGATGTCATGGTCAGGAAGATCCTCGGTTGCATCATCTGTCAGGTCATGATGACCAATAGAAGGGTCAGAAAGTTCATCGGAGGGCTTGAAGATTGTAAAAAGATAATCATCAGAGAGATCATCTGCACAGAATAACTGCTGCACTTTATTGACCAAACTTTTCACAAACATCATCTTGTCAAAGTTCTTGCCTAGGGTATTCGCTGGAAGATGGTCGAAGAATGTATCAATACAAGCTACCAATTCTTTTGCTAAACTGCTGAAGTTACTTGTAAAATACTTCTTAAAAGTAGGGCTGCATTCGTCGCTGCTTGCTTGTATATCTAGGGACAGTTTGTACCTAGAAGTGCAATGTTTTAGGAATTTTAGGACAGAATCCACGCAATGCTTCCACCCAACTTCTCGGTTAAAGCACCTCAGCAACTTCCTGACACGATCATCCAAATATATTTTTGACAACTCATTGCCAATGTGCAGACGGTCCTTGTTGCCATATAAAATGATGTCACCAAAGGAGTAATGATGGCTTAGAGAGAAGTCCTCAATCAACCCAATAAGACGAGAAGCTATTTGCAAGACAGCCATGTTGGTTGGAGCACATGCAAGAATTCTCTGTTTCTTCATCAGAAGCATGTGTAACGTTACTGCAAGTGTTGTAGTTTTACCTGTGCCAGGCGGGCCCCAAACTAGCCCCACAGAAGATCTATGACAACAATTACTTGCTGAAATACAACTTGCTATTGCATCAAGCTGTGAGACATTCAGCTTAAAATTGCAGAGATCATCCTTAATTTCCTCATGTGATTTATTGCTGCAGTAGTTACAATGTCTAATAGCCTGCAGCGTCAATATGAAAGAAACAAAATCAGCATGGAATACAGAATGCAAAAGGACACAACAGTTGCATAGAGGGACTATGTAAACAAAGGAGAGGAATGTGGAACAGAAAGACAAAGCATACATCACATTCAACTTTTACAATAAGAACATCTCTACCTACTTAAGTAAAACAGATAATGCAAATGAAGGCCGTGACATTAAGTTAAATGGCGGCAACGTAATGATAGGGATGAGATACAATAAGTCAGAACATGTACAGCTAAACCAGACACCAACCAAACAACATTAAGAAGATGACACTGACCATACTGCATGACCTGGAAAGTAATCTTTTACAAATTCTGATATCCATATATCATATATCATATATCAATTATTCGACAAGATTATGCAAATTTATGAATACTGTAACACAAAGGCTCCACATTTAGTTAAATAGCATGTAAGTGAATACACACATTCTTCCATTGCAAAAAAATATATTAAGATTAACTAGTAACAAAGTATGCAGTTCATTCACATGGTATAAAATATATGGAACTTGATGATCCTTAGGTACCTCCAAACGCGTACATATTATCACATGAATATACCATATGCATTTTGTACATGCCAAAGCAGTTTAATTGCCTGAGCAGTGCAAATTGATAATGGGAGGAAACACTGAAACTGAAAGACTTACATTATTGTTTTTGCCCAGCATGTTCAGAATGACTTTTGTATCCATTGTCAGACCCCTTCGGAGCACAACCCAAACACGATCATATGTTACCATATTAGTTAGATGCATAGCATAGAAGGACCATCGTCTTGACGAATTTCCACACATCCCTGTTTCATTTAGTTCCTTCAGATCACTACACTTTTCAAGGGGCTTTCTACCTTTTGGTGGTTCTTTTCTGATTTCTTCATTGATAGATGAGTTTTTGGATTTCAGAGCCGTTGCTTCTTGATCCAGTATCTCCCATGACTTATCCAACTCTTCGGTGTACAACTTCTCATACTTGTTAACACCCATTTGCTGCCGTTCATCTCCATCAGCCCCAGTCTCCATCCATCGTGATGCCTTGACGGTGATCTTATTGCCCTGGACCTTATTAATCCATACGATGACACAGGATTTGGACTGTTTGAGAATATCGGATTTATTTGCTGGTCTTGTTTCTGAAATAAGTAGCACATCTGCTGCTTTCGGCCTATATCCATCAGTCCCAGAACCAGACACCCCCATCCATCTGTCGAGCTTGATCTCATACAGTCCTTTCCCCTTTTTCACTGCATTGACTGATAGCAGTTTTGCATATGGAGCTCCAGAGATGTCCTCCATGCTTGAAGACATATCATCCCGGACCTCCTCTAAAAGTGGCCCGAAAAACGATGTCATGTACTGCTCCATGCTGTTAAATGTCTCTGGGATCTTGGACACCTGTAATGACATTTCATTCCATGAATCCATACTGTGCGTTTTTTTTTGGCGATTGGCAAAAACACCGTTCATATAACTAATAAACAGCATAGCAACTAGGCTTCCTTTGTTACGGCACTTAAGCATTTTGATTTCTCACAGTTCTATTGCAGATTTTCCATTCGTAGGGCATAAAATGAATGTGCTTCTATGCTCCCCTAAAAAAAAGGAGAACTCTACTACTAAAATGTTTCTTCAGATCCACGCGGAGGTTAGGGTTCATCACTCGCAACCCACACCAAGTAAGCCAGACAGCAAATCGAGAGGAAGGGGGGGTTAGGGCTCGTCGTTACCTTGTCGCGGAGTAGGTCCTTGTTGAGGATTTGGTCCACCGACCACGAGAGAACCACCTCGGAGAGGCCCTGGCTCCGCCACTGCCACAGCGAGTCGCCGGAGGAGGCCCGCGTCGGCGTGGGCTGCTGAGGGTCGTCGTCGCCGCCGTCGTCGAAGGCGCGGGAGGACTCGGCGGGATCGTCGTCGCGCATCCGGTCACCCGGGTCGCCGCCGCTGCCGGCGTCGTTAGGTCGCCGCATTTCGCCGCGGCGTCGACTGCGAGGCGGAGGCCGGCTCGCTGCGATGATATTTTGGGGGATTAAATCCTAGGTGTAGTGACTTCTAGCTTCTGAAATCTGACTTTTCTGATTGGTTGCTGCATTCTGGGATGGATTGTGCCCGTCTGTCGGACTGCAATCTCGTTGTTGTTTCGGTTGTAGCAGATTTTCTTGTCCTAGGCGGTGGGCTTTGGGCCAGTTCTTGTTGGCTTCGAGGCGTGCTGACTTTCGGTTGGGTAGGTTAGCTTTCCTACCTAGCCCAGGCCGGCCATCCCTAAATTCTTCACACCAAATGTGCTGTCCTAAAGCCATCCCTAAATTCTTCACACAAAATGGACTATATCCTAGAAGCAACTTTCGCAGAGTCGCGATATCTGCGACCTTCAAAACATGCATGAAGGGTGTTTCATAAATTTTTGAAGGCTATGGAGGCGACGCTCAAACTCGGAGTCGTTATAACGCAGTTTTCATAATCTTTCTCCTTTTTTGTTGTATCAACTCAATACTCCCTCTCGAAACAAGGTTTCGCCCCGCTATATTAATATAGCAACCATCCAATACAACTGCGAGACCATCGCTGGGGCAAACAACACGTCCAAATCCAAAAGAGAAAACAAGAGAATCAAATGCCAACAGCGCCAAATCGACGAAAGCGGCGATTTTCCCCAACCAATACGTCCTCCGAAAGATTCTCACCACCCTCATACGCGTTCGAATTGTCGTGCACCAAGCAACACCTTCAAGAAGGACTACGACGACGACGCTACTGCTGTCCAGAGTGATCCTAGGAATATCTGATTTTGTTTGGGAGGTTATAAAGAAAAATCTTATGTCTGTTGAAAGATCGTGGATGTCGCCTAGAGGGGGTGAATAGGCGCTTTAAAATAATTACGGTTTAGACTTGAACAAATATGGAATAAAACTAGCATTTAATTTGTCAAGCACAAAACCTAAAACGACTATACTCATCTATGTGCACCGATAACTTATGCTAAGCAAGGTAAACAACTAAGTGATAACAAGATATATAACATGAAACACTATGGCGATCACAAAATAAAGTGCATAACTAAAGTGCTCCAAATGCACCAAATGCAATGGCAAGGGCACATAGAGTGTCCAAGTCCTTCTCTCCCAAACCCCATCACAACAACTAATGCTATGGAGGAAAATGAGAGGAAGAACGAAGAAGAGAACACAAAGAACTCCAATATCTAGATCCATGGGGCCCTCGCAAAGAGGAGAAAGTGATTGGTGGAAATATGAATCTAGATCTCCTCTCTCTTTTTCCTCAAGAACTAGCAAAAATCATTGGAGGGATGAGAGATAGCAAGCTCGAAGAAGGTCAAAAATGGGGGCAAACCACGAGCTCAAGGGGATTAGAACCACTGGGGAAGAAGACCCCCTTAAATAGGCCCTCCCAAATCCAACTGATATGCCCACAGCCCGCACATAAGCGGTACTACCGCTCCGGAGAGCGGTACTACCACTCGGATAGTAGTACCCACAAAGCAGTGCAATGGCGAGGAGCCACGAAGTGGTAGTGCCCCCGGAGCGGTACTACCGCTGGGGTTGCAGCTCAGGGGCCTTTGGAGATAGGGCATGCCAGTGGAGTGCGACAGTCCCGTAACAACGGTACTACAGCCTAGTGTGAGCGGTACTATCGCTTATAAACTGTAGTATCACGCACCCACTGCCACCCTACTACCGTTGAGAGCATGATAGATCCAGAAGCAACTGGATAAGCAGAAGTGGAGCGGTAGTGGGCAGGCGGTACTACCGCTTGCACTAACGTTCTACTACCACGCAACTCGACATGAAAAGTCGAGTCCCCAGAAGCAGCGGTAGTAGCCGCGGTACTAGACAACAGAAGTACCGCTTATAAGCGGTACTACCGCTTCCCAGAGCGTTACTGCCGTGGGAGTGCAACAAACAAGCCCAAGTAAAACAGATGGATACAATAAACCCAGAACTACCATAACTTCTGTAAATGAGCTCTGAATAGAGCAAACTCAAGCTTGTTGGATAGATGACGACAAATAATATCCAACAAAAACACCTTTCTTGATTGCGTTATAGTAAGAAGTGGCAGGGGGGGTATGCCTATGATATGGAGATGTGAAACCTCTATCGATGAAGAACCGGCAAAAAACTCCATCATCGAAAACATCATAGAAGATGCATATGAGAACTCTGCTTTCGATGAACTTGAGCTTGTCATGAAGATGACCATAAGCTCTGAAAATCACCAAGAGAAACACCAAACAAGAACCAAGAAAGATGATGCAAGGGTGCAATGGTTTGAACTCTCTACGAACGATACGATCAAGCTACGCACTTGAGAGCCTCCCACCCCTTGATAGTAACGGCAATCGATCCTATAACCCGGTCTCCCAACTACCACCATGAGATCGGTAAAATAGAAAACCTATCAAGAGCAAACCTTTGCCTTGCACAGTCCACTTGAGCTAGATGATGATGACCTTGACTTCCTCAAGTTGGAGCACCTTTCTTGCTTGCGTTGCCTCGATGAAGACTAGTAGATTGCTCTCCCATACTCCACTATGGGTGAGCCACTCTTCAGCACATCCTCACAAGTCCATTATTACCACAATGGACGGCAAGCTTCAAGCATGATCTCTTTGTGATGCTCCACATTAACTTGAATACCACAATCTTGATGACGATCACCACTAGATGTCATCCTCTATTGGTTGTATAGACCATGGGTTAGTACAAAAAGCGTAATGGACAATGCTTACCATACCATAGGATCACTTGATCCTACTTGGTACATCTTCTACGCTTTGTGTGTTGATCAAATTGATTCATTCTTTGACTTAGTCATGATCAACCTTGTATCATGTCTTCTCTGTGACCAATCTTTGGATAATTCCTTGAATAGAACCTTGGTCATCACATAATCTCCTTGAAACCAACAAATGGACTTCAAGAAATTCCTATGGACAAAACCTACGAATATAACTCAAGGGAACCATTAGTCCATAGGAAATTTCATTAATTACCAAAACCACACATCGGGGCACCATGCTCTTTCATCTGTCTTTTAGGAAGGTGATCTCACATATATGGTGTGATTTCTGAATTTTTAATTATCTAGTATTTACGTGATTGAGTTGAATCAACACCTGGCAAAGCAAGTATGAAACAAAACCTCGCCCTTTAATGGGATTTGGTCATTTAAAAATATGAAGAAAAATCCAGTGGAAGGGGGTATAGGGGGTTTGAAGCAATGATACCACCTACCAACTCCCCGACTAGGACTAGAAGATAGGTTGGAAGGGAGAGGGAGGGGCGCCACTAGGAGGGAAAGGACTCCCCTCCTTGGCCGACCAAGAGGAGGGGAAGTCCCCCACCAATTTAGCCTCCCCACCCTTCCTCGAGTGGGAAGGAGGGCACCACCTCCACTTGGGCCCAAGTGGCCCAAGTAGCGTTCCACCACTTGGCTTTTTAAGGTCCATTGATATTTAATCAAATACTAGCAAAAGGGCACGTGCGTTGCAATGGGATAAACTAATCCCTTCTCGTCCTAGTCTATGATTCCACTTCTCTTGCTTGCCACCACTGTCGATGATGGTCATGTTGTCCACCTATTCACGGCGAATGTGATCAAACCCGAGGTGATGAGTTTTGTCATTACATGACTGGCGGAGCTTCACATGAATGCCTGGAGGGGCCAAATGATGCATCTCCAACGTATCTATAATTTTATATTGTTCCATACTATTATAGTATCAATCTTGGATGTTTTATATGCAATTCTATATCATTTTCTGGGACTTCAACCAGTGCTAAGTGTTAGTTGTTGTTTTATGCCTGTTTTGGGTTTTCCAGGAAATCAGTACCAAATGAAGTCCAAACACTATGAAACTTTTTGAAGATTTTTTTCTAGACATAAGAGACCCTAGACACTTTGGGAGGAGGCCAGAAGGCAAAGGAGTAGGTGACGAGGCACTTGGGCGTGCCCAGCTACCTTGTGGGCCCCTCGTTTCTTCGGCTGACCTAATTCCACCTCTATAAATTCTCTAAAATCGGAAAATCAACAGAGAGCCGCCCAAAATACTTTTTCCGCCACCGCAAGTCTTTGTTACTGCAAGCCCATCTGGAGGCCTTTTCCGGCACTCTGCCGGAGGGGGAATCAATCACAGAGGGCCTCTACATCAACCTTGATGCCCTTCCGGTGATGTGTGAGTAGTTTACCACAGACCTACGGGTCCATAGCTAGTAGCTAGATGGCTTGTCCTCTCTCTTTGATCTTCAGTACAATGTTCTCCTCGATGTTCTTGGAGTCCTATCCGATGTAATCTTCTTTTGTGGTGTGTTTGTTGGGATCATATGAATTGTGAGTTTATGATCAGATTATTCATGATAAATATTTCAGTCTTTTCTGAATTCTTATATGCATGATTATTATAGCTTTGTATTTCTCTCCGATCTCTGTTTGGTTTGGCCAACTAGATTGATTTATCTTGCAATGGGAGAGGTGTTTTGTAATGGGTTCAATCTTCCTGTGATCAATATCCTAATGATGGAAGGCGACAAGACACGTATTTGTATTGTTTCCATTAAGGGGAAAATGACGGGGTTTATTCATATTGCTTAAGTTTACTTTTTCTACATCATGTCATCTTGCTTAAGGCGGTACTCCGTTCTTTATGAACTTAAAACTCTAGATGCATGTTGGTTTGTGGTCGATGTGTGGAGTAATAGTAGTAGATGCAAGCAGGAGTCGGTCTACTTGTTGGATGTGATGCCTATATACATGATAATTGCCTTGAATATCGTCATAACTATGCGCTTTTCTATCAATTGCCCAATAGTAATTTGTTTACCCACCATATGCTTTTTGTTCAAGAGAGAAGCCTCTAGTGAAAACTATGGCCTCCGGGTATATCTTTTATCATGTATAAAATCCAAACATACCTTGCTGCAATTTATTTACCATTTTTTATTTTGTGCTT